ATAATTTGGGCCAAAATTATATGTTTCAAATTCGGATGCCCTTCCTGACACTAAAATTAAAGGTTCATTCATGTTATTTACTGTCAATGATGTTTTTAAAGAAGCAAAAAATCAGCTAAAACTCATCTTGTAAATTAGGGAGGGATCTACATTATCTATTTAGCCGCGGCTGGAAATTTTCCAAGTCAGTCGGCATAATTTTCTACCATTGAGGCATCCTTTTTTAATACTACCATGAACCATTGTTAAAAGGCCATGGTTTATCAGATATTTTCACCATAGGTTTCTTGACAAAGGAGTGTATTGTGATCCCAGTGATAGAAAGTTCTTTTATTTCTTTTTAAGGCGTCTACTAGTACTTGTTAATCCACCATCCATTGCTTTAAGTTGAGCCATTAAAAATATGTTTTGCTCTGATTTGGTAAGAGCTTGAAAGGATTCTCTTAATTCTGCAAATTGTTCTTTGGGAATTCTTGAAGAACAACCACCAATTACAACCTTTTTCTAAAAAATCAATTACCTTTTGATATTCTCATTAGAACCATCATATTTATTATTACTTTTCATATACACTCATCCCTATATATATAATTTTATGTTCACTTTGTAGGTTTTCATTTATTTTAAAATTGAAGAGATTTTAAATTGGTCCTGTGGTGACAAGCAAAGTGGGCAGAAAAGAATTAAATTTGGGTGGATCTGCAAATAAATATTTTCAAGTATATATTCAATGATTGATAAAAGAGAAAATAAAAAACTTCAACTGGTTCCATGAAAAATAATTATGTTAGATTTAAATTATTTATTATTACTAACAATTAAATACAAGAGAATTATTGTTATTTCTAAAAAAACAATTGAAGAAATTGTTGTTTTGTGTTGATTATACTAAAACAGTAAAACAGAATTTTTTTATCTTAGAATTAGTGCACAAATCAGTTTGTAGTCTCCTGAGATTTTTGCTGTAGTGTATCATTTGATCTAACAAAATCTATTTGAAATCTACTATTAAAAAAAAAAATGGTTAAATTTATTTTTTTTTTGATCAAAAAAGTAATTTTAAAATATATAAATATGATTGATTTTGGACTGAGGTTTATGTAACAAAAAAAATAAACAAGGCTTAGCTTTTTATTATTTAATCCTTTCCTCATATACAAATTCCTTTATCATAATGATCATTCAATACATTTGATATCATCACTGACATAACAAACAATTGCATCACCCAGGTAGTAATGATACCAAGGCCATGCATAAATGAAACTCTTAACAATGCATGTCTACCCAGATCTCTGGGATTCACAAAATAAATTATTCTTCCTGATTATCAATTGTGGTTCCTTATGAATAATAAATCTGATGTTGATCACAGGTGTCAGATTTAATTGAAATTTCCTATCACAAACATGCAAGCGCCGTGCAAAGCATCAATTCAGCACCATGGATTTTATTCCACAGGTGAAAGAGACTTGAACAAGTTGGAAGGCTTTGGACAAAACTTTCCCTTATCTCCCCCTCAGACCAGGCTTGGATGTTATCAAATGGGCATTGATCATGGATAGCTTGGTGCTTGTGTGATGATTGCTTTGTGTTATTGCCACACTAGAATAAAAGTTGGTGTTAAGACTGGCTTGAAAATTCTGCAACTCGGGAGGTCACTGTTTTGGTTTTTCCCTGAATTCAGAGTTTTGAGTCCTTGGTTGCTGTGATTTTTATGAAATGAAAAGTATTAATATTTAACAATTAATTATTTAAATGTTTATTTTGTTGAAAAAAACATACATTTATAGTGTACATTTTCTGTGCTTAACATCCATGTGGCCCTAAGTCTGGACAAAGAATCCCTTTCTATGAGTTTGGCTGGTATATCCCAAAGGCGTCCTCAGTCTTGTCAGTGGCATGCCTACTTGCCAACAACCCTACCCCATTTATTTAAATAACAAGTTCAGTTGGTCAAATAAAGATTAAAGAGAAACAGAAAATTTATGAAAATGCTTAATTTATAATGTAACATACCAAACAAAATCCAAGCCATTTTATGACTTTTTCCTTGTCGGCCACATTGCTGACAAAGATGTATATAATCATGCAATAATTTTAACCTACAGGACAGAGAACTGATTGAGCAAAAACCCATCCAGTCCCCTACCCAAAATTATAAATTTGTTAGTTAATATCAGAGAAACAGAGTGTTTAGGAAAATGATTATACAAAACAAATGCTATTTTACAACTTCCCTCTTAACATCAGAGTCCAAATGCAATTTCAAGGCCACCAACCCTGTTCTGAATTGCAGATTCTCGTTGCTTTGATGGAACTGGATATTTACATGGCACTACAATTCATCTGCAGAGTTGTGACTTGGTCACAGAGCCATCCTTGCCCTAGAGGTGGGATCGTTGCAGGCAACCTTTCGACCAGCGTGCCAGCAGCCATCTCTGGTCTGGGAAGATTAGTGAAAGCGTCATTGACAATTGATGCAGTCTTGGTAAGCTCCAGAGCTTTGCGCCCCCCCCTGAAAATTTGGTAGCATAATTGTATCATCGGGAGCACCGTGGTCAGATTAGCCTTGTGTACACAAGGAATGTGTGAATGACTGTAAAGTGTTCAAGGCAGCATGCGTGCTTCAACGCCTGCTGTTTTCCGATAATCAAACATTGCATATTTGAAATGTTTCTTCTGTAACAGTGTGCTGCCTTGACATCATCTTGTAATTATAGTAATATTAATATTATTATTATTATTGATCACGAAAAGTAAAATATTATCAATGAAAATCTTGTAATTACCCAGCAAGATCTGCTCTGCATTTTGAATTCCAATTAAAATATTTATAATAACCAAAAATATCAATACAAGTAAAAAAAAGTACCTCTGGTTAGTTATTATGTCTTCTTTAGGAGACCCAAACCAAGCCAAACCAAACAACAACATTCACCTTGGACTCTGTCAAAAAATAAATTGTTTTTCCAAAAAAAAAAAAAAAAAAAAATCAAAAAAAAAACCAATAAGATAAATAATTAGCGTGTACGCGTCAATTGTATCACAAACTTCTCTTAAATTTTTTTTCAAAATGTCTTTCGAAAAAAATTCTATATAACAAAAGAAGAAAAGCCCAAACGGAAGAATTCGAAAGAGGGTAAGTGTTTTAAGAATGGTGGTGGTTATCGCCCGCTGCTCGTCGTTACTCTAGTTTAACGTTAAGTTTGGATGGAAAGTCTGTGTTCATTTCATTATGAAAAACCTTGTCAATCTTGACCAAAGAAATACAAATAAGGAAATTGTTTGCATAAAAAACTACAAACCTTTCTTATATATATGTATATTATCTTTAGTTTTACAAATATATCATTTTTGTTTTCGAATGAATTTAATTGCAATTGGGTGAAATTAAAAGTGATTATGATTGGCGTGTATTTAAAAAATGTATACATACCTTGTGATACATGACTCAGCTGCAACAATTAAATTTTTCTGTTATGCTAAAACAGATAACAAATAAATGATTTGAAAAATAGACGAAATTATTTTTTTTTTTATTTATTCTATTAATTAAAAAAAGAAATAACAATCAATAATCCAAGATTTATTGATCGTACTAAAACAGGTTTTAATAAATAATAAATGATTATTTTTAGAAAATTATTGTTTATTTCTAAAAAAAAAATTGAATTGTTGAAATTATTATTTTTGATGAGATTTATTGATCATATAAATATTAAGATAGAATTTCTAAAAAAGCAATTGAAAAAATTTCTAGAATCATTATTTTGAATTAACATAATAAGTATACTGCAAATTATGTGTGCAAAAGTTTGATTAAATTTTTTTTCAAAAAAATAATTGAATTTCCTTTAAATAAATGACATAGCAAAAATCAGAA